ACAATCTCAGCAGAGCAAATGAAACTGATTTGTTATTGTAATGTTGTTATATTTTATGGTTTTTTTATTAAACAAAATAATAAAAATTATATTCCCAAAAAAAGGAAGTCCTACAGCCTCAGCCACCATTCTCAGCTCTTTTTAAAAACCCACACACACCAATAAATGGGAAGCGTGACAAGATTTGACACAAGACTGACAACTGCTAAATTAATGGTTCTGGCACCAGGCCTATATAAGGGTCTAAAGAGAACAGTCCCATATTCCTTTCCTCAATTCCTGCACCAGCCAGTTTCCATCTTCCAGGCTACCTTGGTATTCAGCGAGAATTGAACTGTTTTAGATATTTCACATCCTCACATCAGTTAAGTGGTCATTCTTGTGTTCAGCATTGCACAGAAACTGACACACAAGATAGTGCAAAGTAAAAATGCCTAGCAACAATATCAGAGGCAGAACCTGGTACAGTCATACCTCGGGTTAAAGTAGCTTCGGGTTGAGTGTTTTCAGGTTACACTCCGCGGCGACCCGGAAGTAACGGGACGTGTTACTTCTGGGTTTCGCTGCTCGCGCATGCGCAGACACTCAAAATGATGTCATGCGCATGCACAGACAGGGCGAATCGCAACCCGCACACACGCAGACGCGGGTTGCGTTTGCTTCAGGATGCAAACGGGGCTCCGGAACGGATCCCGTTCACATCCAGAGGTACCACTGTATTTTGAAAATGTCTGTTTTCCAGTTGACATAAATGCAGGGCAAAACCTGAAAACGGGTGGGCAGAGCTGAGTGAAGCTTCACAGACTAAGATGGTATCCAGTGATCAGTCAGTAAGCCCCACTGTAAGCCCCACTTCAGCAATTTGCCCTTGCCTACAGATACTATTCCCTGCTTCCCCACTGTTTGTTGTCTATCTCGGGGACAATGAAAGAGTGTGCCTTCAGGGATGAAGTCAAACTGTTGGAAAGTTACAGCGCTTGCTGTGGCTGTAGAGCCTGATACAGGAGAGGCATGTTTTATTGTAGGTGGGGCACAGGAAGGCGTCTGCTTTTGCTGCTTGGGGTGCACCTTGACATTTCTTCTCTCTGCCCTCCTTCTCAGTGGTCACTCCTTCTCCAGTCACTGCTATATAGCTGATCTTAGCACAGCCCCAACCCAACCCCTTGTTGTGAAGATCTGAATTTTAGAAGGCCAATAAATTGTGGCGTATGTAGTTCATTTTTTCTGGGGAGACGCGGGAGTACACATACCCCTCAACGTTTTGTGAATCTTTGTACTTTTGTCCATTTACTGTATTTATTTTTCCCGATCTGAACTATAAAATGGTGATTTTCTTGAGTCAAAATGAGAGTACAGTGGTACCTCTGGTTGCGAATGGGATCCGTTCCCGGGCCCCATTCGCAACCTGAAAGGAACGCAACCCGCGTCTGCATGGGTCACGATTCGCCACTTCTGCACATGCGCGCAACGTCATTTTGTGTGACTGTCTGCACATGCGGCGAAACCCAGAAGTAACCCTTTCCGGTACTTCCGGCTCGCCGTGGGACACAACCTGAAAAGATGTAAGCTGAACCCAGCGTAACAAGAGGTACATTTTTTAAAGAAATAAAAGCACTGGGCGTACGTATGCAAATATATATAAGAGGGCATGCCTATTGTGGCACTTTAAGAACCATGAAGAGTATGTTTCCAGGGTACTGGGTCCACTTCACCATGCACTCAAGCCCGCCCCCCCCCCGCAAACATGTACTGTGTGTGTGTGTGTGTGTGTGTGTGCGCGCGCGCGCATGCATATACACACACACAGAGATAGATACATAGATAAACATAAACACAAACACACAATCACACACACACAGATAGATAAGTAAACATAAACACACAATCACACACACACACGGGCTCAGCGCACGAGGGAGGCACGAGCAACGATCCAGTTGCCAATCTCGCCACTCGCGATCCTACCCAACCCGGCTCAGTGCTCAGCAAGTTGGTCCCACGGACCATGTGCCAACACCCCCCCCCCCAAAAAGCAGCCCTCCTTCCGGGACTCCCATCATCAGCACTCAAAAAGGAGCAGGGTCGCCTAGCCACGCCCCCTCCGCGCCCGGCCACGCCCCTCCGCCCACCCCGCCCTCCCGTCTCCCGCTCTCTCCTCGCTCGCTCTCTCACCTTCGGCCGCGCCCGGTAACAGCATCGCGCCGCGTCGCCGTGGCCCAGCCGGAGCCTGCCGCCGCCGCCCCCGCTTCCTCCCCACCTCCACGGGCAGCGGGGCCCCAGGCGCCCGGCCACCGCCCGGCTCCGCTGGTACATAATGCGGACACAGGGCGGCTCCCCACCTCCAGCCCAACGCCTCTCGCCTCAGAAAGCGCCCGCTGCAGCCGGCGAAGCCACGGCGCCTGCGCCGGCAAGGGAGCCTCCAAATGCGCAGGCGCAGTGCGGTAGTCTCCTTGGGCTGAAGGAGGAAGGCGTGCGCAGGCGCCCTCTTGGCCGAGGCCCCGACCCCGCTTTGAACTTTCCACGAGCGAGCGAGAGCTCTTCGCCCACTGCGCCTGCGCAACGAGGCTGCTGCTGCTGCTGCAAGGGGTTACGGTTCTGCTGCAGGGAGACTTCCGGTTCTTTATCGCAGCTGACAGCATCCTCCATGTGCGGGGGTCGAGAGTGCTAGAAATGCAGAGGGCCGACAAAAAAATGGCAGTACGGAGTCCTTCGAGTCCTGTCCTTATTTTCCCCCTCCCAGGATATTCCTTCCCATCCTCTCACATCACACACACAGCATGCACTGAGCACAGCCAGGGCTCACTGGGCAGTTTTTTGGGGGGGTCAACACCCCATCTGCTCATAAGAAGTTGAATATATTTTGTTCCCCAAAGCTGCAACTGTCTCTGTAGTCAAAACGATCAACCCTAGAAGAACTTCGCTTTTAGTTATGTAGGATAATTAAATGTAAAAGCCCCAAAACACACGTGGTTAGAGGCTCCTTTGGGTGGAGGGGATTTGCAATGACCATGCCCCTAACAACGAAGTGCCCCTGTGCATTTTTTTAATGCCTCATGACAGGTAGAAGGGCAACAGTTTCACAAAGTATTGCATAAAGGTGTATCTTTCAGAGTCTCTCATTACAGTGGTACCTCGGGTTACATATGCTTCAGGTTACAGACTCCGCTAACCCAGAAATAGCACCTCAGGTTAAGAACTTTGCTTCAGGATGAGAACAGAAATCGTGCTCCGGCGGCAGTGGGAGGCCCCATTAGCTAAAGTGGTGCTTCAGGTTAAGAACAGTTTCAGATTAAGAACAGACCTCCAGAACGAATTAAGTACGTAACCAGAGGTACCACTGTACAGTCCTTTGAAAAAGCTATGTCCTCTACCCAGGATAGTGAAAGAAACCTCATGCCCTTAAAGATGTGATAGGAAGATGATAATAATACAGCCCTCTAAAGGCCTTAATGACAGGTAAAGACATAGATCTCAAAAGCTGAGAGCCAATATTTATCATAATAGGCTTCACTATTACAGCAACCTTCTTGGTGAATCCTTACACCCTTAACATGAAGTTGTTCAGTTCCAGTCATAAAGCCCAGTCTTTTAGCTCACTTTTCCTACTTGTTGCTGTTGGTGAATGTTAATCTGGTTTTACCAGTTTATTACCAGTTGAGAGCTGGTCACACCAACACAGACCAGATTGCATCAATTACTCCTTTTGAATGGCTCTCGCTTTCACAGGAAAATGGAAATTGTGCATTGCTCTATCTTCCAGCCTCCCTTCGTGATAATGTATTTCCCTCTGTATGCACACATAAAGTTAGGAACTATTTATGTGTCTGAGGTGGGTTCTCATCCACAAAACCTTACACCACAATATTATTTGAACCCTTTAAGGTGCCGTCAGACTCGTGCTACAACAGACACAACTCCACTTCTGTAATTTCCTCACAAAATGTTTGCTTCAGTTATGAGTGCAGGTATCAAACACGGCGTGCGTACATAGAATTATATAGACTATTGGTTTCAGTGAGTTTAGGTACACCCAGTACTTTTTTTTCTGGGGGGACACAGGGGTACGCATACCCCTAAACATTTTGTGAATCTAAGTTTGGCCTCATTGAGGGGCAGTATTTCAATATGAGTAGGAAAATGAGAGTACCCCTAAACATTTTTAAGGGAAAAAAAGCACTGGGTACACCTAACAGCAGCTCCCTTTCCATTTTCTATCATGCATATATTCCCGCCCCCCTTCTCCTTAACATTGTTTCTTTAGTTTAGGTAGTACAATATTACTTTAAATTTTGCCAGGTAGTTAGCGTTACTTTGATTCAGAAGTAAGTTTCCTAAAAAATAGTTCCTTGTAAGATTTTGAAAAATAAAGTTACACTGAATATCAGAACTTTCACTGTTGCCTTATTCTTCCCTAAATAAACAAACAAACAAAATTATTTCCTACTTTAAATCCTGTTTTATTCCAACAGCTAGAGAACAGGCTCAACTGAAAGACAAAAAATAAAATAAAATTGCAAGCTAGAGAAGTTACACTGATTTCAACACACTGGAACAAAAAGGTACTTCTCATGTACTTGCAACTCTTTTGTCCTGCATATGGAAGCTTCTAATCTGAATAGGAAATGATGGCTGCAAGGAACTCTGCTTTTTCTCTATCTTGAGCCTGCCCAGACTTAAGTGCTAGAAAACTTTTCTGCATCTATGGGACAAGCAGCCCCAATTGCACGTGTTCAAATAGGGAAAGAAAGCTGGAAGATGCAATTGCATCTTTGCACCAGAACAATGACTGCAAAAGCTAATTCATGCATGTTTTTCAGGGGTCTGTGACTGCATCAAATGTGTAATTTATGCATGCTCTTCAATGCTGTGCTAGCTTGAAGAGATACTTGCATGATCAACCCTCAACAACAGCAATAGCTTGATATGAAATAACCTGTTATACCTACATCTACATAAATTCTGCACAGGACATTCATAGCTTAGGGAAGACAACAACTCTGTTCTGTTAAATTCAATATTTAATGGCACATTTTGTATGATGGTACATGTGCAAATGACGGACACGAGGAGTTGACACTATCCAGTCTCTTAAGCTCAACACCCTGTGTCTTCATTAGATCATCTTAAAAATTCTTCCTAATCTCCAAGCGGCCCAGTTAAGGTGCTGCATACTGTTAATGGCTGCGCTTCTATTTAAAATGTTTTTGCCCCTTCATGTTCACCCTGCCGTGTTTGGACAAGCTGCTGACTTACCTTTGCATAAGTTAGCGCTCCTTTCCAGCTGGTGCAACGTAGAGGCAGAAGAAGATGCCAGAGTCTATAATGGTTTGCCTAAATGGTTTAAATTGATGTGGCCACTACCACCAGGAGAGAATACTATATGGAAAAAGAAACTAACATTTGCTCTGTTATTAAAGCCTTGAGAAGCTTTGGCCTAGACACATTAATAAGTTAAAAAATGAATGAGAAAACAATAAGAAGAAAAGGAACAGGAAAGTTAAAGGCATAGGAAGTGAACTTAGCTGATTTTGTAAGGCATTCATTCAATGAAATAAGTATGAACTCACTTTTAACTCCAGTGTTGGCTAATTTGAACTAAACGCTCTACTAAGACCATATTGATGTAGATTATATTTAGTCCAATTCGGAAGAGAAATATACCAAACTGGAAGGGGTAAATTTAAATCTAGATTAAGCGGATCCAGAAGTGCTAAATCCCTTTTGATTAAATTGGACCAAGTTGATTTCCCGCACATGCTATTTATTCCTTCCTGTGTTTTCTTCCTACCGCTCTTCATATTCAGGGCAAAGGAAAAGGAAGTGAGCGGCCCTTCCCTTCTCAAAGTTTGTGGGAAATTCCAACATTGTACCGAAACAATTATCGAAAATTTGAATTCAGGCTTTCCTATTTTTCTTGGGGTGGAGCAAAAACCCACATAAGATTTGCCAAGTAAAATTCGGTTGGCACATTTCAGCACTGGTATCTGAATTCTGTAAAAATTCAGGCCCTTTTAAGTTAACAAATGCAGGATCACCTCTAATTGAACGGAGTTTCATTAAAACACTAGTTTCAAACGATGAAAAGAGGAGGATTTCAAACTGAATGGAGCTAGCAGGAAATACAACAGAAAGGCACCACATCAAGGTGAGTGAGAGGGATATAGTGAATGGCATGCTGCTTCTGGTGGTCTGATCCAGGGCAGAAGGAAAAGGAGCAGGAAAATACCAATTTAATGCCAGAGGGAGGAGACATTCCAGGTAAGACGGGTTGTCAGCAAGAGAGGAATCTAAGCTAATTCAGTCCTCTTCCTCATATTGGCAAGATTATCTGTTCTTGGCTGAAGACTACAGCCACAAGTGCAGGCCATTCCTCTCACCAGGGTCTGGTATTGCAATACAGATACTTGTGCTGGATCCATTTGGCTTCATAGGGGCTCCCTGCTACTGTCCATAGCGGCTTCATCTGCCAGGGACTCCTGGGCAGATTGTGCCACCCTCTGTTCTGCTGCGGGGAGAGTCTGGCAACGTGATGGCCGTTTTCGCAGGAGGGTTGGCTGTTTGTGACTGCCAAAGCGTAATGGTCCTTAATCCTTTCTGGAGGAGCTAGAGTCATAAGAGTTCTGGAATCCATCCTCTGATGTGTAGCTTCTGCAGAAGGATGAGCTGTCTCTCCCATCTGCCCGACGTTGGCTGGTTCTGGGGGGCTGATGATAGTGCTGTCCAGCCTAGTGGAGAAAACAAATATAATCATCATGATCCCTTTTATCATATGTGGTGGTATTGTAGTAAGGCTAGAGCTTACTGGGAAATGATACACAATGAATTGAAAAGGATGTTCAAAATAACTTTTTTTTTGGGGGGGGGACTAGAAGCTTTTCTTTGGGGAATTATAGGGACAGAACTACCTAAATTGTATAGCAATTTATTTATGTACAGTGGTGCCTCGCAAGACGAAATTAATCCGTTCCGCGAGCTATTAGCGGCTTAGTGGCTATTAACGGCTTAGCGGCTTAGCGGCTATTAACGGCTTAGCGGCTTTAAGAAAAAGGAAACAAACTTGCAAGAACACGCAAGACGTTTCGTCTTGCGAAGCAAGCCCATAGGGAAATTCGTCTTGCGGAACGACTAAAAAAACGGAAAACCCTTTCGTCTAGCAAGTTTTTCGTCTTGCGAGGCATTCGTCTTGCGGAGCACCACTGTATGCTACTACAGCGGCAAGAATGCTACTTGCCCAAAAGTGAAAAGAAGCAGAAGTCCCAGCAAAGGAAGAATGGATACAAAAACTTATGGAATATGCAGAAATGGCGAAACTTACCAAAGAACAAGAAAGCAAGATAACCAAACTTTTAATAAAAGAATAGAAATGGTTTGTTGAATATTTACAGATAAATTGCAAACAGATAAAAACATTGTCAGGGTTATTGTAATAACCTGCAGTTTCATAAGAGTATATATTTAAAGTAGATAATTAAAGGAGAAAATTAAATGTATTTGGATATGCAGAAAATATTTTTTAAAAAATTAAGGAACTACAGAAAGAGGTGGAAGTACGTTTGAAATGTTAAATTGATTGTAAAACTAATGAAATGTATAAACTTGAAAAGTTTAAATAAAAACTTAATAAATGAATAAATCATATGACATGATCCAAAGGCTAATGGTGGTGATGTTCAGTTTTTACACAATCCTTTTAAAGCAAGTCATCTAGACTGGAAGTACAAATTTGATATTGCCATCCTATTCAGAGCCTTCATTAGCCACTGTTGCCTTTAAGAAGCCGAAAAGCATTTGGGCAATATCTAACTAAATCACACTCAGATTAGACCCACTGAAATAAAGGGATTTGGTTTATTTACACTCACAGCAAACAACTGGAAGATTCCTAGCAGTGAAGGAGGGAGAAAGACTGGCCACTGTGTTTGGAGGGATAGAAAGAAAACAATTTCCCTCCAGGGATTGAGATTGTTCTCTCCTGCGGGTGGGGAAGAGCTATAGCTCAGTGGTAGAGAATCTGCTTTGCACACAGAAGGTCTCCGGTTCAATCCCCAGCACCTGGAGGTACCACTGGGAAAAATCCATGAACCACTGCTGTAGGAGTGCAAAAATCCAGAGTGTGGGGTCAGGTGGGATTACTATGAGGAATTCTAAAATATGCATCAAGCCATTGTGTCCACGATGAATGCATTGTGTTGACGGGGTTTAATTCATTGACAATCATTTCTGATCAAATCGCTGTCCTCCTGGCCATCCTTCTTATCATGTGTATTGATTGTTTATGACCTCCGGGGTTGCTGAATGCACTCCTTTGTAGTTTTCATTCATTTACTCCCAAAGTATGCATGCTTAACTAGTGTTTGTAGTTTAACTTTGTCCCCACGTGGGGTTTGTTGAAATGCTCAGAAGAAATCTGATCGGTTCTTACGAACACTCTGTAAAAAGCTCTTTTGTGAATAAAACGACCTGGGCCAGGGGCTGGAGGCAGAGATTATTATACACACCCTTCCCAGAGTCCTGCTGGTTCAAGCCTCTGTGTGTATTCTTATTAATCAGAGTTCAATCCTTCCTTTACTTTGGGAACGCCTCACACTGCTGGTCTATATAAACAATACCAAGTGGGATTGTGCCAGCAGGAGGCACTGTAATATACTTGCAGCGTTGCTGCAGGCTGAATTACTTAGGTATGTTTGGTTAGATGGTCCTGCACGTAGTAAAATACCAAACCAGAACAGCTTTTGGTGCCTTCAGTTGTTTTATTGGAAGAAAAGTCATGGGGCTGGGAAGTAACAAGAAGTACCTCTCTGACTCCTGAAGCTTTCTGGGTGAACTGAGGTTGTCCTCTAAGTCATCTAGATAGGAAGAAACCGGTCAAATGCAGCGTTTCAGTAATACAGACATGACAATACCCCTCCCCCGTCCCCTCCCAAATTCTTCATAATGGAAGGCAGACACACTATATTAAAACTAGCCCTTAGGCAGAAATTCCTCAAACATTAGCAAGTAATAGCTAGAAAGAAACCAATCAGAGCCTCGTCAATTAATCTGTTCCACATGGTTGAGACTGCTTTTGCACAAGGCCAGAATTTGATATCGAGGACGTAATTCAAAAATCCTGAGAACCGCAGCTTGGGTGTTTCTTTTTTAAAGAAACATCTAGGGCAGCGTTGTTGTTGTTTTGTCCAATAGGAACATAGGAATCTGCCTTACAAACAGGCCAGACTATTTGTCCATGTAGCCTAGTAGAGTTTACAGAATACATCCTTTGGGTGTAGAAAAGTTCCAGGGTCAATCCTTGAAATCTCCAGTTAAAGGATCCAGGTTGGAGGGCTGGAAAAAGGTCCCCTGCCAGAGACAACACAGGGCTAGGTGGACCAAGAAGCTAACTCTGAATCAGACAGGTTCAATGCTTGCTTTCCTCTTCCCTCCCTCGGCCTTTGGTGCTGTCTCTATTAAATTGTGAGCCTGCAGACAGGGACTGTTACCTGCTAATACCAGCACAGTGCTGAGAAAACTTGCAGCACTTTAGAGCAAATAATAATGAGGCATAACATTAAATAAACACTGTAGAGGTGCTATAGAAACGTTCACCGTTAACAGCACAATCCTAACTGTGCCTACTCAGAAGTAGCTCCTACGGAATTCAGTGGGGCCGACTCCCAGGTAAATGAAGTAAAGATTGCAACCTGGGCGAGTCCTTTATGGGCTAGGATCCAAGTGCTGTAATGTAAGTGGGGGAAAACCTTTGGCCCTCCAGACATTGCTCAACTACAGCACCCATCATCCTTGGCTATGCTTGCTGGGGCTGATGGGCGCTCCAGTTCAGTAACATCTGGAGGGAGGCAAAGGTTCTCCAGATCTGCTGGAACGGTTAACCTATACAGTGGTACCTCAGAAGTTGAATGGAATCCATTTCAGAAGTCCATTCAACTTCCAAAAAGTTCGGAAACCAAGGCGCGGCTTCCGATTGGCTGCAGGAAGCTCCCGCAGCAGGCAGCTCCCGCAGCCAATCAGAAACCGTGTTGGATGTTCGGGTTCCAAAGAATGTTCGCAAACCAGAACACTCACTTCTGGGTTTGCGGCATTCGGGAGCCAAAACGTCCGAATACTAAGGCGTTCGGGATCCAAGGTATGACTGTATTTGCCCCACTACCCAGTCCCTTGAGGAAAAAGCTGGCTATAGATCTGGAAATGTCTCCTATGCCTCCAGCGGTCACTCACTTGCTCTTTTATCAGAACGCTCCATGGCTGGGGCAGAGTTCTTGAAGCGGCTGTAAGAAGACTTCTGAGCCATGAGGCTGTCCTTTAGAGTGCCTGTCCTGGAGGGCGGGAGGGGGAAGACAAGCGGGAGGGTGGAGATGAAGCGGCGGCAGCAGAAAGCAGCAGGTAGGGCAGGAACACCAAGCAAGGATGCAATTGGACAAGGATGTCCCACAGGGAGAGGATGCACAGAATGAAATCCATCCAGTGGGGCACAGTCCGTCCCCCCCATTCAAAAGGAATTATACTGCAGAAGGTTGTACCTGGAGGGGAGAAGTGAGCAACATTGCAATGTACCGTATTTTTTGCTCTATAAGACTCACTTTTTCCCTCCTAAAAAGTAAAGGGAAATGTGTGTGCATCTTATAGAGCGAATGCAGGCTGCGCAGCTATCCCAGAAGCCAGAACAGCAAGAGGGATAGCTGCTTTCACTGCGCAGCGATCCCTCTTGCTGTTCTGGCTTCTGAGATTCAGAATATTTTTTTCTTGTTTTCCTCCTCCAAAAACTAGGTGCGTCTTGTGGTCTGGTGCGTCTTATAGAGTGAAAAATACAGTACTTTCCCTTGTACTTGGACGATGTTACTTTATATCAACCCTCCGCCCCTACCTGGATTCATTACCCCCACCCTGTATAAGGTAGGTTAACTCAAGAAGGGCAAGCAATCCACACAAGGCAAAGGAGAGGTTTGAACCAAGGTTTCCAGGGTCCAGCCTCAGTGCTCTATTTGCCTACTATATTACACCAATTCCTGGAAAGGGAGAGGATTTGCAAGTTATTCCATAAGCCAGCAGATGCGGAACAAAAAAGACAAGACCACGCATTGAAACTTTGAAAAAAAAATATCCAAACTTTATTGAAATGTAAACAAAAGGTTTTGTATTTTCCATGCCAGACACCAACAGCCAAAGGCAGTTCAGAGTCTCAGGTGCTTGGATAAGAAGAGAAAGGGGTTGGGAAAGGCAAGGGGCCTCAAGGAGCGCTGCTTCTCAAGCAGCCAAATCTGAATTTAAAGAGGAAAAGGGTGGGGGGCAATGTTGGGAGTTCCCCACATCTGAGCAGCTTTTAAAGTCCGTTGTGTCCAGGGGAAAGGGACATTACTTGGGCTCATGAGCTTCATTCTAGAGAAAAGCTTAAGACGCTAAGCAAACTTCTGCCTTGTCCACAGACGTCATCTCCAAGTGGCTGCTGTCTCACTCAGCTTCACTTTCTCCCCAGATAGCAATACTGAGCTGAGAAGGGTGGGGTATAAAGACGGCAACTGGGGATGTGCTGTAAGACATAAGAACTGCTATGCTAGGTCTGACCAAAGGTCCCTCACAGCGTTCAGCTGGATGCTCCCAGAGAAAAATGGCTTCCAACAGGCATGAGGAAGAGAGCCATTCCCCCATTTGGCCTCAGCATCTGGAGAACAGAGCAATACCGGGATGTATCCAGGGCTAGTCCTACTCAAGAGCTGACCTACTGAAGTTAACAGACATGACTAACTTAGGTTCCTTAATTTCAATGATTTTACCCTGTGTAGAACTTAGGTGGATACAACCTACTGTGTATGAACTTTAGAGGGCCCCCTTTTTAAAACCAGGCATAGGCAAACTCGGCCCTCCATATGTTTTTTGGGACTACAACTCCCATGATACCGAGCTAACAGGACCAGTGGTCAGGGATGATGGGAATTGTAGTCCCAAAACATCTGGAGGGCTGAGTTTGCCTCTGTCTGTTTAAAACCATAAAGGCTGTCAGTGACAGACCTAGCCAATGCTATTTTTCTAGAAAGAGAGGTGCCAGAACTCACCATGAACGCCTCCCTTGTTCTCTTATAATGGCAATGGCACCCACCTGAGAGATGCCGGAACTAAAAGCCAGCCCTGGACCACTGTAAAATTATCAGGGCTGGTCCAATATAGTAATAATAATTTATTCTTTATACCCCGCCCATCTGGCTGGGCTTCCCCAACAACTCTGGGCAGCTTCCAACAAAATATTAAAATACATCAAACATTAAAAGCTTCCCTAAACAGGGCTGCCAATACATTTTGCTGCCTCAAGCTCATCATAACCCCCACCTTTTTCTACATACGAATGAATCTTACTTAACACTGCTGATGGGACAGCATCCTCAGCAGAGATTAGCAGACCATTTGGCACACCCAGCTCTATTCTTCAGCACCTCCCTGCCACTCGTCACCTCTCTGCTTCTGCCACCTGAGGCAGCTGCTTCCCTTTGCCTAACGGCAGCACCAGCCCGCCCTGATATTTATAGCAACACTCGTTGGTGAAGCTCAGTATCATTCAGGGGCCTGGTCTAAATACAAGTTAAGAGTCAAATTTAAAAGCAGCATGAGCCAAATACTCCAAGAACTAGATAGCCACTAGGCTGGGGTTTTGTTTTTTTTTTGAGAGAGAGGACAGATTAGATTCAGCGATGGAGGATAGGAGTATCGTAAGCTATCAAAAATGCTAAACTAAAACAGAACTGCAAGAATGACACCAAGTACCAGTTACGGAAGACAAAGAGTAGCAGGAAAACCATCTCCTGCATAATCTTCTTATAAACCTCCTGGGAGCAACCAGCTGGCTGCTGTTAGAAACCAAATGCAACACAGCAAAGCAGTTCCAATGTTCTTAAGCAAAGTGGTCTCCTGTTACAGCCGAGCCCAAGCTACTTGACAGCACAACCTATGCAAGGTGTAACCGCATACAAGGGCAGCCCACACTGCCACATGATACAATTGGCGGACCACACAGGGTGACGACCATTGGCACACTCAGCAGGCAGTGCTTCAACCTAGCCCCGTCTCTGGCCTCTGCGGTCTCCTCTCTGTTGATCTGGTGTCACAGGAGCACAAACTGTGTATGCCGGAATGCGTGTGGCACTGTACAGTTCTGCAATTTCAGCGCACATGAGGAATATAGCATTGGGCTCTGAAGTTAAGCATCCCAAGTCTCATGAATTTTCATTAAATCTGTGAGCCTGTGTGTGATGACAGATTTGAAATCAGGCAATGCCATGATTTGAAAGCTCAGAAGCCAGAGGAGAGTCCGAAGGGAAAAGGCAGAGTTTCATTGCCCCTGAATTTTAATCATGGCCACATTTTTATCCTGCCCTTTCCCCAAGCCGCTCAAGCAAGCACACATGACATCTGTACCCCCACCCCCATTTTATCCTCACAACAACCCTGTGAGGTAGGTTAGGCACAGAGAGGGAAAGAGGGGGTAAGGTCACCCAGTAAGCATCAGGGCTGAATGCGGATTTGAATCCAAGTCCTCCCCATCCTAGTCCAACACCCCATCCACCACACCACACAAGCTCTATATAGTTCCCTTGCTCCTTATATTATTACGACACCTACTGGTTAAGTACTGTAAACATCTAAATTACAGTAGCTAAGTAACCTCATTGGCAAGTTGCTAAAACAAGTTGCTGCTTTCCCTGGCACAAGAGTTTAGGCTACCTTGGCACTTTTATCCTCAATATATGTGCACTTGCTTCTCTGGCATGCCTGACACCTTTCAGTTTCTTGCTGGAGACCAATTCCCCCCTCCGAGGCACGCAAGACCCAACTCTCATTCTAGGGACTTCTAGTTTCCCGCTTCTCGTCCTCTAAACCTGTCCATCTCCACTCCCAAGTCTGAAAATAAAGGCCAGAGCTTCTGCTTCTCCAGCTGAGGTATCCATTTTAAAGCCCTGTAAGGATTCCTCTCCTGCTTTGTGAAGACAGGGGCAACCGCTGTAGGTTTTGTTGCCGAAGCCAGGTCCTTCTACGCTACATCCCAAACACATCGGCAGCCTCAGGGGTGACATTCTGAAAGGAATTCAGGGCAGAGCATGCTATAGACACAAGAATGTCTGAAGGCAACACACAGTTGGCAAATCACAAAGTGGAGAAAGATGGGAGAATGCAGGAAGGTGGACAAAGGTGGGCAAATCAGCTTCTTTCTTCCTCTCTCTTAAAATTTGGCAGAGAGGGTGAAACTGCTATCAATGTTGTGTTCTATGGAAACTGGGTCACGTGGAAACACGATTGTGGTTCTTCTCACATTTCCACCATAACCCCACTAAATGAAACCTCGATAAGTACCTTTGGCTACAGTTGCAACTTTATTAGGAGTTAATCTGGGGGGTGGCAGGGGGAGAGGAGGAGATACTGAAGGAGGACTAGGTGGATTTCACCAAGAGCAGCTGTGGCCTTTGCTGGGCTCAACTCTGCTTTGGAGGGATGCACCAGGGGAACTTTCCCAGGCCTACTTTGGAAAAGCAGAGCCCCAGCTTCGCAGGCAGACAGATGGTCCCAGGCACAATCCTTCTGAATACAGTGGTGCCTCGGGTTACATACGCTTCAGGTTACAGACTCCGCTAACCTAGAAATAGTGCTTCAGGTTAAGAACTTTGCTTCAGGATAAGAACAGAAATCGGGCTCCGACGGCAGCAGGAGGCCCCATTAGCTAAAGTGGTGCTTCAGGTTAAGAACAGTTTCAGGTTAAGTACGGACCTCTGGAACGAATTAAGTACTTAACCCGAGGTACCACTGTACTAGTTGCTGGAAACTACATGAGTGCTCGGGTCCTGCCTGTGGGTTTCCCACAGCCATCTGATTGGCCACTGTGAGAACAGGATGCTTGACTAGATGGGGCATTGGTATGATCCAGCAGGCTCTTCTTGTGCTCTTATGGTGGGGAAGCTGTGGCACCTCCAGATGTTGTCGGGCTCCCAGCACCCATAAGCCCTAGAGCAGATATGGCCAACGGTCAAGGATAATGGAGTTAGGAGTCCAGCAACATCCCCACCTCCGACCTAGCATCTCTGGGTCAAGGGTGTCAGATAGCAGGAAAAACTCCTATCTGCCAATCAAATTAGACTGCGCTGGGCGAGATGGACCAATGGTCTGGCTCGGTACAAGGCCATTCCATTTCTTCCACCTATGCATACCTTAAAACAGAACACACTGTAGCCCGATTTAATGTCTCAGCCACTCCCTCCAAGGTAAGGGTAACAAGTATCTAGAAAGAGGCTGAGGTGCGTAATGGCAAGGGCAAGGGAGAAAAAAGGGCACTCCTTCAGAGTAAGGGACTATGCATGGCGGGGGTGAGGGCAGATAAGGGAGTTTTTAGGGGTTTCATAGAGACCCCTAATGCCTGCCCACTAGTTCAGCCTTGCAAGTAAGTTTACAGCAGCTCCTAGCCTACCAATGTATCACTGTTAAAGTTAGATCATTCTTCCGGCCTGTCCATATATCAATCTCTGCCATTCACAGCACATGGATACAAAATGCACAAAACGCAACAGGGAGCCTGACCGCAACTGGAAAAAAAAACTAAAACAAACACGCTATGCTGTAAGTTTTTCAGGGATCAGAGCACTTTGTCAAAATCCACGATGAAAGTGGGAGGGATTCCTACTGACTAGCCAAACATACAGGAAAAATATCACAGGCCCCAATTTTAATAATATGAAGCCGCCAGACAGCTCCTCTGACTTGGGCTCTGCTAAAAGCAGTGGATCCCACATAAAAGGAAACAGGCTTTTGAAGCCCTACAAGAATAATAATAATAATAATAATAATAATAATAATAATAATAATAATAATGCAAACTCTGTTTACCAGAGATAACAGCAGGATGTGTCTGCACCCCAGGCTGATGCCTCTATCAGAGGCTCTGAAGTTAAACTGTCTCTCTCCAATCTAAAACTCACAGACGGCCGGCCAGGTAGCCCCTAACACTGTAAATCCAAAACCGTACCTGCCTCATGGTGGTAAGACTATAATAACCATTTCAATAATTCACTTGTTTTTAATAGTAAAGTAAAATCTGCCATCTGAAGTGGGCGATCTCATCCCTACACCCAGTCCTGACAGTGTTACGTTTTGTCACCAGTCCGACAACTATTCATTTAATCTATGCGGCCAGTTTTTCAAAAGTGAAATCTTACAGAACTAAGTGATAATTTACAGTAAACTTGCATTGTCTTCTTTGGATCCATGATTGGCAGGTCACAACAGACGACTGACAGGTCTGTATGGCGACAGGCAGCAGACCACAGTGTCAAAGAGTGTATACTTGGGACACCAGTACTTTCCCAGCTGTAAGCTCTCACCGCTTTGAAGCTGAAGCCCAACTTTATAAATAATTTGAATTTCGTCAAAGCCCAGCAGTCGGTGCTGCTCTTTGAAAAAAGCAGCTAGGTTCCTTTCCTTAAGGGCATTCCGGAATCTTGGCATTAAAAAATTGAAGACCAAAAACACACACACACAATATAAATAAACCCACATCCTTACAGGTTCTACCCATAAAGCTTATAAAAAGGAAGGGATGAGGAAATTGGATGTAAAACCAAATTTTGCTGCTAGAAAGAACTCAAGGACACAAGTGGAAGCCCAACGGCTGGGTAGACACACAGCAGAGACCGGCGATCAATGGCTGTTTTCAGCACGATTCAGGGAGCTGGTGGTGGAGAGGGGGAGGAAGAGAAGAAAGGAAAGGGAGGGAAGAGGAGGGGGTTGAAAACAGAAAAAAGAAAGAGAGGTTAGACCCCCAAACGGACCATTTGGGGAAAATCTATCAGGTTAAGATAACGAAGAAAACATCTCATTTCCGAGAGACACAGTGCTAATGGATAAATGGTACTCTGGAAATGGTGGATATATTATACTTTTGATGCTGGATTAAGTGCAAGGATGAGGAGGATGGATGGCAAGCACTAAGGAGAGGGAAGGAATGTGAAGATGCTGCCATGGCAAGAGGATAAACAGCTGTGTAGGACAACAAGACCTTTCTAGAACCTCTGATTTCTGAAACTTCCTGAGGCCCTGTCTACATTTCTCCAAACTTTTTATAGCATATCAGATACTATTAACTGCTGTGTGAAATAAATATGATCCAGGGCACTCTTTATTCTGAGGAACCAAGGTGAAAGCGCATACAATTAGAATTGAAGACCCACAAAAAGTTGTTTTTTTAAATAACTGCATTAGAAGCATGCATGGGAAATGTACAATACACTGTTAAAAACTGTATTTCATGCACAGCAACATCCACAACCTAAGCTTAATATAGCCTAGTCATACAAAACTGGAACATCTTTATGGCTTTATAGCTTTCGAGAGCCACAAACAAATCAAACATAATCTCATCTAGCACTCAGTGAGCCAAGTTCTAACCTAGCATCCTTTCGACATGTCAGATGCAAAGCAAACTGACAAGCTGCAAGCGCTCAGTCCCATTTCATGTGGTCTGCATGTGATAAAAGACCAATTCTGCCAACTAGCAGAATTGCACAGAGGAATTGGCCACCCAGGGCCACAAGGAATGATATGAAAGATTAAATCCTGGGAGGGAGCCTGTGGGTCACTCCAGTGCAAATCTCTCTATTCCTATGTCTAGGGCAGCTCATCTTTGCCATCACTTTCTGTACTTTCCCACATCTCACTCAAGGTTAACCCTGTACCTAAATGAGCACATCTCTGCCCCTCCCCTAGACGTGGAAATCCCACATTTACTGCTGAAGCTCTGTTGCATTTGCAACCACGTGAACTCCACCCATCCATCTAGCCTTCATTTATCTTGGCTCGCTGTTGCCACTGCCCTCTCTGATTCCAAGGCTGCCCCCTGGCACTCAGTCTCTAGTCCCAACCTGGTCTTTTAACTCCTGTGTCCAGGAAAGGGTAAGCACAATGTAGGAACTAGGTACAGTGGTACCCCGCAAGACGAATGCCTCGCAAGACGGAAAACCCGCTAGACGAAAGGTTTTTCCGTTTTGGAGACGCTTCGCAAAACGAATTTCCCTATGGGCTTCCTTCGCAAGACGAAAGCCCATAGGGAAATCTCCGGGACAGGGCGTCTTGCCCACTGTCCTCGGACCTCCTCCCGCCGCCAGGCTTCGGAAGGCTGCTCTGAAGCCTGGCGGGGGGCGGAGAGGTTTTTTAAAAACCCTGGGACAGCGGAGGACTTCTCCGCTGTCCGGGGCGATTTTAAAATGCTGGCGGGCGGCAGCGCTGCCGCCCAGCAGCATTTAAAAAAACCCCGGACAGCAGGGGACTTCTCCTTTGTCCCGAGGTTTTTTAAAATGCTGGCGGGCGGCAGCGAAGGCTTCGCTGCCGCCCACCAGCATTTTAAATTCGCCCCGGACAGCGGAGAAGTCCCCCACTGTCCCGAGGTTTTTTAAAATGCTGGCGTCTTCCCCTTTCTCCCCGGACCTCTTTTGAAGCAAGGGGCGGCAACGCGGAGAAGCGATCTTCTCCCCGTTGCCGCCCCTTGCTTCAAAAGAGGGGACAGAGGGAAAGGCGCGCGCCTTCCTCTCTCTCCCCCCGGACCCCTTTTGAAGCAAGGGGCGGCAAAGGGGAGAAGCGATCTTCTCCCCGTTGCCGCCCCTTGCTTCAAAAGAGGGGACAGAGGGAAAGGCGCGCGCCTTCCTCTCCCCCCGGACCCCTTTTGAAGCAAGGGGCGGCAAAGGGGAGAAGCGATCTTCTCCCCGTTGCCACCCCTTGCTTCAAAAGAGGGGACAGAGGGAAAGGCGCGCGCCTTCCCCTCTCTCCCCGGACCCCTTTTGAAGCAAGGGGCAGCAAAGGGGAGAAGCGATCTTCTCCCCGTTGCCGCCCCTTGCTTCAAAAGAGGGGAAGGCTGGCGGGGGGCGAAAATCTTTGTCCCCCCTGGCTGCCTTCCCGGGAGGGCTTTTAAATCACCCCGGACAGCGGAGAAGTCCTCCGCTGTCCGGGGCGATTTTAAAATGCTGCCGTGGGGGGGGGAGCAAAGACTTTCGCCCCCCCAGCCTTCAGAAGAGGTCGGGGGACAGATTGTCCCCGGACCTGGTCTGAAGTCGGTTTCCATAGGAACGCATTAATTGATTTTCAATGCATTCCTATGGGAAACCGTGCATCGCAAGACGAAAAACTCGCAAGAAGAAAAAACTTGCGGAACGAATTAATTTCGTCTTGCGAGGCACCACTGTACCTACGTAATACACTAGCAACCACTGCCAGGTGGAACGGGAGGTAGCTAGAAAGAGCATTGTAGCTGTTTAAGTAACTACAACGTGCTCATCCTTTTTCCCTGTACTGTTCACACAGTCAGTGTTTTCTAGGGTCTCAAGACATACAGCTTTATCCCAGGGATTTCAACATCCATCACCCAATTCCAGATGGTATAGTTTCAAAATAGGGTACTGAGCACATAGCTAATCTTCTCCAGAATCAGTTTTCATTTTACAAAGCAAGATTCTAGCCCTTATGGTATGAAGATATGTTTGAATGCAAGTGGGCAATGTCTGGTGAAGTCTCAGAAGCCAGAGGAACTGCTTAACGCCTTTTTTATTATTGATTTACAGTGGGGGTATTTAGTACCTTGCACAGCTGTATTATTCCCATCTCACTTGACTAATATAATAATAATTTTATTATTTACAGCACACCCATCTGGCTGGGCTTCCCCAGCCACTCTGGGCAGCTTAGAGCATATATTTAAAAATTGCAAAACATCAGACATTAAAAATTTACTGATACAGGAAAGTGAAGTAAGAATGAAATGTATAAAAGTAAGGCGAATTACACAAATCATTTCATTTTGTAATAATTTTTACGGGCAGCAGAATTCAGTTTTTCTTGTCAAGGACTTAGAATGCCTGGATGCATAGTTTGAACTACTTAAGTTCAGGGAACAGACTTCTCTGTTAACAAGGCTCCAGTGTGACAAGACAAAAAAAATCAGAATCTGAAGTCATTTGGAAATGAAATGCCTGCTAGTGTTTTGATTCAGATATCCTTAAGGACTGACTACTTCCCAACCTCAACAGAAACAATATTCTGTTCCACACATGCACACACACACACACACACACACACACACACACACACAGAGCATTCTTTCCCACCTACTGCAAGATTTTCAGATACCCCACACCTCCAGCTGTACCTGGTTCTCCGCCTCTGTGAAGCTGGGTCTCCGGGCTCACCATTCATCAGAAGGTGGGCCGTTGAGTGGGGAGGGCAGAGGCGCAAGTTCTTCAGCAGCTCCTGCTCATTGAGGAAAGGCTTGAGGCAGCCTCGCACTGGGGAGTTGCCCAGACTGCTGGAGCGGGTCAGTGAGCGAGACTGGTTGAAGGGCCAGGGTGGTTCAACTTCTTCCTTCAGGACTATTTGTGGGGACATATTAAAAAAAAAGGTTCAGTCCTCCAGTTCCTAGAGAGGCCCAAGGTATGCTATTCAAAAAGGCAGCCACTCTGGGTCCCTTAAAAGCCACAGCATCACCATCACCTTCGCCTTCTCGCTTGCTGAAAGGCCAAAGACCCAGAGAACCACCTTGCTTTTTTCTCCCACTTGCACTACGGGAAGCTCAAAAACAGCTGCATCCTTCCTTATGGAAAGCCAGGTAGGACAAAGTTTGAGCATTTTCTTCTGTATGCAATGTTTTCCTGACATCCTGTCAGGGGACCAGTTTGGAACTGGCACATTCTAAAAAGTGGTGGCTGAGCCCCGGGATCTTTTAGCTCACTTCCTAGACAAGGGAACCCTTTTTCTTCTTAAAAAAAAAAATGCCCACTCATTTCCAAGCTTGGATGGAATGTAGACCAGGCTTCCTCAACCTCGGCCCTCCAGATGTTTTGAGACTACAATTCCCATCATCCCTGACCACTAGGTCCTGCTAGCTAGGGATCCTGGGAGTTGTAGGCCAAAAACATCTGGAGGGCCGAGGTTGAGGAACCCATCTGTAGACTCTTCTGACTGAAGTCTGTCTCAGATTTCAAAACTGACTTGCCGCTTCTCCTACTCTCCTAAATCAAACAGCTGCCGTACCCTAGATGGGGCCTAGTGACCTAACTGCGACAAGTATCACAGAACCACGAACACATAATATGCACATTCCTCTGCTTCATGAAGTCAGCTGGTCTCCACCCTACCCTGAGAAACACCACAAAATGGGTTCTCTTGTCTTGGCGTCATTCACAACTTGCCCCTCAATCTGGAGGCTGATCTAGAACACTCCCACCAAAAAGAGAACCACTTAAACCCACTTCCCAGTCCAGAAGCAGCCTTGGTTATTAATCTCTTACACTCTCGGTCTGATGAAGAATATGGTTTTATCTCCCCCTCATGACGCTTTTGAGGCAACTTTCTCACTGGAGCTGCGAGGAGAGGGAGAGAGAAAGATGAGGAAGCCTTTGAGGAGGAAGGGAAAATCAGTTAATCACATAAAAACATTTTATCTCAGATAAAATAAATAAAATAAAATAAAATCTTATTCCAAGCACGAGAAGCAGTTGTGAGGAAGATCCCTTAATAATCAAAATAGTTCAATACTGGGAGGTATATAAAAAGGGGGGGGGTAGAAATAAGATGAAAATAGGAGAATAAGTCCAGCAAAGCCAGTGCAATTTATCAAAGTATGTTCTAATTCTTATATTCACAAAGTACAGATCAATAAACTCTAGTTCATCTCATCGGACCAATTGCCCTCGTAGAAGTTGATTATTAGTAGGCTAAAAAAGAGTATCATTTAATTATCTCCCTCGTAGATTTAAAAGAACACATCCATGGTGGACCTCCTTTTTACACCGCTAATGTTTGCCGAATTAATTTCAATTTAAATAAACAGTTTATTATCCTCTTGGTAGTTAATTAATTCTAGGCTTTAAAGTTTTGGAAAAGTTACTGCTTTGATGCATGGAGCTTGAGGCTTCTCGTCGTGGAGCTGCGTTGGAGCTTGGTGCTTTTGGCTCCATCTCACCCCCACAGCTGGAGAGCGGGACAAGAATCAGAATTGTGCTGCTGGACCCCTTTGAACCCAAAAAGAACCTTTTGGCTTTCTCGGGGGTGCACAGCGCCCACGTGCTTCCCCAGAACTCTCACGATGAGCAAGCCGTTCATGGAGAACAGAGCTTGCCATCTGACACCATTCCACGGTAACCTGGAAATGGGAGTAGGGATTTTAAGAGCTTTTTCTGAGCAACCAAATGAATAGCAGTTCTAAACTGTGTGGGTGATCATCTAAGAATTAACCTAGAACAGTGTTTCCCAACCGGTGTTCCGCGGCACACTAGTGTGCCGTGAGACGTTGCCTAGTGTGCCGTGGGAGGGAGGCGGGCGAGTCGGGCGGCGAGAGGCGGGGCGGCGGCGGCGAGCACACGCGGGGCAGCGAGCGAGCGAGCTCCCACATCCCATCGCCGGGAATGCAGGCTTTCGCTGAAGCCTGGAGAGCGAGAGGGGTCGGTGCGCACCGACCCCTCTTGCTCTCCAGGCTTAAGGAAGCTATCCCCCCAGCCGCGCAAGCTCCCAGAGCGATGCCAAAGCTGCGAGCACCTTCGCCATCGCTCTCCGACCCGTTCGGGGGGCTGGGAACGGGAGAAGCTCCGGCTTCCCCCGCCCCCAGCCCGCGCAAGTTCCCAGAGCGATGCGGAAGGTGCGCTCACCTTCGCCATCGCTCTCCGACCTGCTCTGCGGGCTGGGGACGGGAGAAGCTCCGGCTTCCCCCGCCCCCAGCCCGCGCAAGGTCCCCGAGCGATGCGGAAGGTGCGCTCACCTTCGCCATCGCTCTCCGACCTGCTCTGGGGGCTGGGGACGGGAGAAGCTCCGGCTTCCCCCGCCCCCAGCCCGCGCAAGGTCCCAGAGCGATGCGGAAGGTGCGCTCACCTTCGCCATCGCTCTCCGACCTGCTCTGGGGGCTGGGGACGGGAGAAGCTCCGGCTTCCCCCGCCCCCAGCCCGCGCAAGGTCCCAGAGCGATGCGGAAGGTGCGCTCACCTTCGCCATCGCTCTCCGACCTGCTCTGGGGGCTGGGGACGGGAGAAGCTCCGGCTTCCCCCGCCCCCAGCCCGCGCAAGGTCCCAGAGCGATGCGGAAGGTGCGCTCACCTTCGCCATCGCTCTTCGACCTGCTCTGGGGGCTGGGGACGGGAGAAGCTCCGGCTTCCCCCGCCCCCAGCCCGCGCAAGGTCCCAGAGCGATGGCGAAGGTGCGCACACCTTCGCCATCGCTCTCTGACCTGCTCTGGCGGCTGGGGGCGGGGGAAGCTCGGGCTTCCACCACCCCCAGCTCCTGCAAGCTCCGGGAGCAATGGCAAAGGTGCGCTCACCTTCGCCATCGCTCTCGGACCCTTTCTGGGGGCTGGGGGTGGGGAAAGCTCTGGCTTCCCCCACCTCCAGCCCCGCAAGCTCTGGGAGTGATGGCGAAGGTGCGCTCACCTTTGCCATCGCTCTCGGACCCTTTCTGGGGGCTGGGGGCGGGGGAAGCTCTGGCTTCCCCCACCCCCAGTCCCGCAAGCTCCGGGATCCACTCTGGCTCCCATTCTGGGGGCTGGGGTCGGGGGAAGCTCGGGCTTCTCCCGCCCCAGCCCCGCGTCTGGGGGGGGGAATAATTTTTTCCCCTTTATTTCCCCCCCAAAATCTAGGTGCGTCCTATGGGCCGGTGCGTCCTATAGGGCGAAAAATACGGTAGTCAATATAGGCACAGAGTTAATTTTTTAAACATTTTCTAATGGTGGTGTGCCTCGAGATTTTTTTCATGAAACAAGTGTGCCTTTGCCCAAAAAAGGTTGGGAAACACTGACCTAGAAGAACATGATTTCATGAATGGTAGTTAAGGCATGAAATAGGAACAGTCCCTTAATTGTATTCAAAGATCTAGCCAACGAGCAAAAGCATGTGTAGGCAATCTATTCAGGAAATTCCAGGAACAACACTGGAAATCTGTCATTAGACAGAGGGCCCTCACTTCCTTTTCTCTGTGTTTAATTAGCATAATTGCCGTTCCATTTTCAGATTCTTGGCAGATGCTTAATCACAGCCAACCGGATGTGGTATACTTGTTCTACACTTAAGCTTAGCTTGAAATTATTACTCTCAAACCCCCATCAACGCCACTGATATAAATCCTGCGGCGGCAGAGGAAGCCGCTTGGGCGCCTGGGGTGGCGGGCCCAGGGGTGGAGCGGGGCGCACCGCGGGGCCTCCGGAGTCTGCCTGCCTCCTCCCACTCAGCCACCCTACAGCTGGGGGGAAGGCAGCGGGCAGACCATTTGGGCAAGAGACACGTGGCTCGGGCGCACTGCAGGCCCCACGGTGAGTGCCACCCGACACTTTGTCATGCCCCTCAGTGGTGACACCCAGCGCAAACCTGCACCCACTGCACCCACCTTCACCCTTGTATAAATCCATGATGTAGGATTCTTATTAATGACTTCAGTTTTTGGAGCTGTCAGCAGGCCAAGACAGAGCGGGGGCCATATGGGCCACTTGGCCCGGGCCTCCAATTCCAAAGGGGGCCTCGGTCAGCATATTTTTGAAAAGCATTACAGTATTGTATATATATTTTCCATTTTGTCTTTATATGCTGATACGGTTCAAGCCTTGAAATAAAATTATTTGTCAGCATAACCTTTGTGATAATTATTTATATATTTACTCATTTATAAGACTTCAGTTAAAGGGACGCAGGTGGCGCTGTGGGTAAAAGCCTCAGTGCCTAGGGCTTGCCGATCGAAAGGTCGGCGGTTCGAATCCCCGTGGCGGGGTGCGCTCCCGTTGCTCGGTCCCAGCGCCTGCCAACCTAGCAGTTCGAAAGCACCCCTGGGTGCAAGTAGATAAATAGGGACCGCTTTCTAGCGGAAAGGTAAACGGCGTTCCGTGTGCTGCGCTGGCTCGCCAGATGCAGCTTGTCACGCTGGCCATATGACCCAGAAGTGTCTCCGGACAGCGCTGGCCCCCGGCCTCTTAAGTGAGATGGGCGCACAACCCTAGAGTCTGTCAAGACTGGCCCGTACGGGCAGGGGTACCTTTACCTTTAAGACTTCAGTTATCACCAGGATAAAAGGGGGGGGCACATTATCTACCTGGCCTGGGCCTCTCCCTGGCTCTGCAAGGCCCTGGCTGCCAGTCTTGGGGGAAATGATAACATTGTACATGGTGTAGACAAAATGGGGAGCTTTTATCCCTCTCTCATTATACTAGAATCTGGGGACATCCATCCCCAGGACAGAGAAAAGGAAGCACTTCATCACACAGTGGATGACTTACCGTGTATGGAATTCAGTACATAAGATGCAGTAAGGTCCTGCCAGCATGGACGGCTTATACAAATTCATCAGGGAGGAAGGCTATCAGTGGCTAATAGACATGATGGTTATAGCTCTACTTCCACAGTAGACTGCAATATCCTTCCAAATATCAGCTGCTGGGAACCACAAGTCGGGGTTGCACTCAGGTCTTGCTTCTGAGCTTCCCTTGGGCGTTTGGTTGACTACTGTGGGAAATGGGGTGCTCAACTTGATAGGCCTTGCTTTTATTTTGGACCAAAACAGCATCCATACTTCTGAAGCCTTTCATGACTTGGACATTCTGGCTATTTGGGCCCAGAATAACCATCTATTGCTTGAGGGTTCCATTTTAACTTCATTACAGGCACAGAATACAGTAAAGTCAATTCAGCTCAAGAGTAGGAAATAGAATCCCGTGGTCAGTCATGTGCGCGTGTAAACCGACAGGTCATTGTGCACAACGCAAACACTGAATTCTACCATAGATTTTGGAATCCTTAACATCACAAGCTGCAAATATTTAGTATTCATCAGGAGGTAGCAAAGGTAACTGACACACAAAATGCTCAGAACCCAGCCTGTGTTGAGGGAGATCTTTTTTAAAAAAGTGAAGAAGCTTCTATACCGTTTGCCTCTTCTAACCCTTCTCATGAAGAAGAAGAAGGGTTTGGATTTGATATCCCACTTTATCACTACCCGAAGGAGTCTCAAAGCAGCTAACATTCTCCTTTCTCTTCCTCCCCCACAACACTCTGTGAGGTGAGTGGGGCTGAGAGACTTCAGAGAAGTGTGACTGGCCCAAGGTCACCCAGCAGCTGCATGTGGAGGAGCGGAGACACAAACCTGGTTCACCAGATTACGAGTCTACTGCTCTTAACCACTACACCACACTGGCTCTCTCATGAGCAGCCCCCCACTCTTAATCACATGCAGAATCAAAGCAAAAGGACATAGCAATATTTATGCCACTGACTCACCATGGTGGTGGCTGAAAAAGCCCTGGAAAATCACAAAGTTGTTCACCTGAAAGAAGAAAAATGAGATTTTAAAAAACATCAGCCAGCAAACCAAACCTACCCCCTGTTCCAAGCTTCTTGTGAAACACATTTGTAGGGCTCCCTACAGTTACCTCCCCGCTCACCTTCTTTTTTGCTGCTGGTCTGCATATTTGCTTCGGGGGGGGGGGATACAGCTCTTAAGGGTAGGGGCTTAGTAGCAGAGCATATGCTTTGCATCTTGGTTTGTGCAATTTATAAGCCTTTCACTACATGGTGACAGGTCATAAAAATAACATATAAAACTGCAATATGCACACACAAAACATCAAACTATCATTCAACTAATCATTAGCAAAACACTTATTACAATACACTTGGAAACAGGCAATGAAACAAGATTGTACTAACTGGCTACTTACTATTCCCTTTAAATACAATCTATCAAAGATTCCCAGTAGTTTTTGAGCACAAGGTCTTCAAGAGAACAGGGTAGAGCAGAGATAAGGAACCTCTGGCCTTCCAGACACTGTCAGACTACAACATCCATCACTCTTGGCCATTAACCATGATTGCTGGGGCTGATGGGAGTCCAACAATGCTGGAGGGCCAGAAGTTCCCCACTACAAGGCTAGCTAGAGTGCCTGCTGCATGGTATAAGGACCTGTGCAGCATCCTACATCCCTCCTCTGTGAAGCTTAAGCTAGTGGCACCAGGACCAGCTCCCAGCCTGGTTCATGGAACATTTACCAGTGTGCAGTTCCATTAAAGTGTGGCCACTCAGAACCACCTTTGGGTGACCCAGAGAAAGGTCAAGACGCATTCTGCTGCTGTTGGGCTGTAAGCTGCCTAGACGGAAGATCGTCTGGGAGATCCAAGTGGCTCCGAGAGGATATGCCAGGTACAATAAGAGAGCATACAAAATCCATTTTATTCTTTGCTTCCTGCACAGCACACATCTATTCCCAACTTCTCTGGAGCCATTCCCTTCTTGTCCCACAGTCTGTGCAAGCTTAAAAATGAATACTTTCAGAGATGATGGACACGAACTCAAGTGAACAGAGTATTATTGCATTAGCTATCAAACTGCCTTGAGGGTGATTTTTTATTAAAAAAAAACTACCACCATCAAGTGGTGTATAAATTTTATGAAACAAATAATAAATTAAGTCAAAAGGTGAAGGAATTGCTGTTGCGTTCTTCCGTCCTGGCTTCCCATCACAAAGAGACCAGCTCACCTGGGGAATAGTGTCACAAAGATTATAGTGTTTCCGGAGAAAGCAGAGCAGCTTCTCTGAGGGGCGATCCACAGCCAGTTTGTGAGGCTCCACTCGCTCTTGCTGAGGGAGGGGAGACAGAGAGAAGTGAAGATAAAGGTTGGGGACAACAGCTTCCAACAGCTTCCACCTCAAAAGAAGGGGTAAAATTTAGGAGCTGGATCTAAAGCATCAGTTGCGGGGCCAGCAGCAAGTTTCTATGAACCCTGAAACAGGGAGGACAGGTGAAAAGAGGTATCAACAAAACCAAAGCAACAGCAGCTGCTGTTATTTACAGAAGAGAGGTGCAACCAACTTGCTAAAACTGTGAAGCAACTCACAGGGCAAGAATGTTAAACAGTGGATCCCAAGAGCTTGTTCCAACCCCATCCAGGTCAGCCTGGCTACGTGAATTAATTAATGCCTATTAGGATAACCATCCACACAGCTAAAATTAAAAGGAACTGAGAATAGCTCTAGGGCCATAGAAACCACAATGGCCACAAATAAGCATTGCACATTGGATGGGATGTGTTCTCACAGAGATAAAATATCCCCTGGAGAAGACTCTGTGGAGAAAGTGTATTTCATGCCTGTTGTCTCACTGATCACCTTATCTGTGGTCAAGAATGAAACCTCCACACAGATTGATTCACTGTGAAGGGGATTGAGCCTTTAAATGCAGGAAGTGGGCACACAGAATACAGGGATATGTGACCCAGCCAGGATATTACAGGGGCTGGGGAGAGACAGAGACGGAGAAAGAGAGAGAATATGCAGAGGCGCACCTGCAGCATGTAATGGAAGAGCTCCTTGCCATAGCCATGCCTCTGGAGGGACTCGTGAATGTAAAAGTCCAATACGCACAGTGGTTCCACTTCATTGTGAGCTCCGTGGCGGTCCTGAAAGAAAGAAGGAAGACTTGCAAGATGTGTATCTATATTTAAAAACAGAGCAGAGTACACAGAATAAAAACAGACACTTCATACTCACACCATTAGTAATAGAGCTAAAATATCTGAGCCACTTATACCAATACATGCTAGCTTACGCTGACTTTTCTGAGACACTCTTGCTTAAATCAAGTTGTCAAATGCTACTTTAAGGAAATTCAGGCCCCATGTTTTGACATAGCATGCAACACGATTACAATGAAAACCAACTATAGCTCACCTATCTATATTGCTAGCACTTTCATTTTAAAGATCTTCCTTCTACCTCCAACACATACAAATGTCAGCTGACTTCATGGATATTATAAAGAAGGGAGGCAGTTGTCCCCACCTAGTTCTGCTACATCTCTCAGTGGCCTTTGATACCATCAACCATAATTCTTTAAGGAAGGGGATAGTCTTTTTTTATTTTTATAAATAATTTTTATTAATTTTCCAACATACATTTATAATATCCAATCTAAATTTATCACATATTTTCTCTTTTGGACTTCCTTCAGCCTCTCTAACAATCATCCATTATTCAATTTTTTAATTACACATTTCCTAATTTTTATATTGCATTTTATATACCTTCACCCTCTTATTTTTCTTCAACACAATATTCCTCAAACATTCACAGAGCCTCTTGAAATCCCACTAGCGTTGTTTGCTCATCACATATACATTTCAAATAATCTGAAAATTTCCCCCAATCTTCGATGACTTTTGTACTCGTAGATATCTGATCTTCCCCGTTAGTTTGTCTAGTTCTGCATAATCCATCAGTTTCATTCTTCGTTCTTCTAACGTCGGTAGTTGTTCCTGTTTCCATTTTTGGGCCAGTAGTATTCTCGCTGCAGTTACTGCGTATTGGAAAAGTTTACAGTCCTTTCTATTTATCTCATTTCCTACTATTCCTAAAAGAAAAGCCGCTGGTAAGAAGGGGATAGTCTTAGTCCTGTTTGCTACCAATGACCCTTTTGCACCAGAGACAACTGCTCTGCACATAAAGGCAACTTCCCATTGCAACTTACCAGTACAAAGAGTTTCTTGTATCCCACCTTCAGGAAGCCAATTATGACTCCTTTCCCGGCCCTGGTAGCAATGAAGAAAAGATACAAACCATTAGTTAGAGATGTATGAACAATGGGCCCCTGAGGCAGAGGAGGGCTATCATTTATTACTGTAATGTATTTATTCCTGATGGCGCCACGGGATCTACAGTCACTTAGAGCCAAAACATTGTTTGCAAAACACCTGCTTATTTACGCTTTTAGGGCAAGTGATAAAACCTGCTGTATAAAATTGAGATAAGGGGCCCAAGGTAGACTATCAACCTTCCCTAACCTGGTGCTTGCCAGATGTTTTTGACTACTGCTCCCATCAGCCCTTACCATTGGCCATGATTACTGAGGCTGATGGAAGTTGGAGTCCAACAAATATCTAGAGGGCCAAAGTGTCCTCATCCTTGAACTAGAGGCTAGATGATTAACAGTAGCAAGAGGAAAGAGTATAGCATTATTAAACAGAGACCTTTTTTTGCTTTTCAAATTCCAGAATCATAATGATTTATGCAAATCAGGAAAATATATGCTATTCCAAGAGCAGAGGATTTTTGGGCAAGAATGTCACAGACAGAGGGAAAGAAGCACACAGACACAGGTATACATGGAAATAGCAACTGTGAGGGACAAGCAACTGTGCTGAAGGAAACAGGGCAAGATCTCCCCACCCACGCAATAAAAAAGGAGGGGGAATTCCGATATTTCAAGGATTCTGCAAATCCCTTGAAATGCCTCCCAATATGTTCCCACAGAAATGACTTGGGCTGCAATCCTATGCACACTTACCTGTCCCACTGAACTCAGTGGGATTTACTACTGAGTAGGCATGCAAAGGACTGGACCCTTAACACTCCAGCCCCTCAGTCGCAGCCACACTCACGTTTTTGCTTCGCTGTCCTTCAGAATGTAGAGAACATGGCGGTTGGTTTGCATTCGTGAGGCGCTGGTGATTGGAGTTGGCAGATTCTGGGCCTGAAACCAAAAAGTTTCGAGTTTCACTAACTCAAGAAGACTTTTTAAAAAAAAAGACTTGGAAGGGCAACTGAACAAACTGATATCTGAACTAGAGCTTATATCCCTTGGAGAGAAAAAGATCCCCTCTCTCCTTTCTTGCATTCTCTAGGCAGAACTACACGGTGAGACAGTGAATCTTCCAGGCCAGAGCAATTTAAGACCTACAAAGCCAAACACAGCTGCTTCACCTGTGCTTCTGCCCAGGCATTTAGGAGACGAGTCATTTTCAATGGAACTGTTTCTCCCACCCACCCACTTCTGCTCCACAGTTATATTTGTGTTTTAGTTACAGTTTTAAGTGAATTGGCCGAGGCTTACAAGGGATAGGCAACCTGGCTTCACACACATTCTCCTGTTTACCCAGACCATAATCTATTCTGCGGCCCTTTAAACCCTCCAGATGAAAACCCTGACCCACCTTGGCAGAGGCCCTGCCCATCTCATCTATGATCCTCATGAGCTGCTGCTGGTGATCCACCCTGGCCATGAAGAAAAAGAGAGAGAAAGAGAAGCAACTAGGTTGAGAGCCTGAATAATCTAATCAGAATAGAAACCTAGAACAGGAAATGGTCCAAATCCTTGAAGGAGGAGAGGAATGTTTGACATGTTGGAGGGAGCAAAGTATCAGGCAGCTTCTGCAATGTCATACCCCGAAAGACATAATAGGTTACTGGAATTGACCAAGCACATTAGGAAAAATAGCAACTCAGAACAGAGATAAATTTTGGAAATGGTTTAAGGCTGCCTAATAAAGATCCATCCAGGATGCTAAGCAGAAGAAGACTGCTGCTGGATCAGACCAGAGGTCCATCTAGTAAAGCATCCTATTTTCAAAGTAGCCAATTCGTGTTTCTGGGAATACCACAAGCAGCATATGAAGCTAACAGCCCTCTCCTGTTGTTGCTGACAAAAGCAAAAGGATAAGAGATTAGTCAACAAAAGGTACCTCATCCTTATAGCAATGGGGCATCTCACTGCTATACCTGGTGGATGGATGGATGGATGGATGGATGGAAAGAATGATGCTAATGTAAACCGTCATTGCCCATATTGAACAATTTATTTTTAATGTTTCAAGACCATGGTTTTCAGACTCTGTTCTGAGAAATTCTAGGCTTCCTTGGAAGTTTATTAAGGGGTACATCCAAGTAACAGCAGACAAGCTTCCATGAAAGACAACTTGATCACCATTACTTATTGGCCTTTGCAATGCTCCCCCTGTAAGATAGCTCAAAATACATACTAGATCACCACCTCTATTATGAAGGGGCAACTGTGGAGCCCCAAACACCTAACAAGGACCCTACATCAGGGTAGGGTACCCTGGCCCTCAGACTCTCACCAGGTCACAGCCCTCATCAGGCCCACTTCACACCTTCATGTGTTTTTGACAGGCTAGAATGCTTCACTGAACACTGATAATGTCTATTGGATGCCTGGATGGAAGATGGGGAGGGGTGTGTCAGTGTGTAGAAGAAGCTAGCCTACTGTACAAAGATAACACACAGAATCTCCTGAGCAAACATGTCGATGCAGAAAGGATTCCCTACAGATATAATGCCTGAGAGACAACAGGAATGCAGGAACAGTATGTGCCACAGGGAACTGTTATATCTTTTCTGTGCAGACTTATAGAGCAAAAATAAACCCCCTGCAAAGCACATACAGCAACAGGGATCATTGTTCTAAGACAATAGATTGAAGCAGATTAGCCACCATTCTCAGGATGGCAGCTGTAGCTAATTTTAAATATCCTATCCCAGGCTGTGCAGGTAAGAGTAAAACTGTTAGCTACTTCACTTTAAGACTGTTCATGGTCGAACAAAGAACTATAAATCATGCTCTGAAGTAGGCCGATACCATTTAAACCTCACTATTAGCCATTTAAAATTATAATATTCTATACTATCATCTTCAAAATAGTAGTAGCATCTTATATGCGACAATCTTCAAAACACCCTTACAAGGGGAGCTCAGGCTACGACAGTGTTGAATGTTGACAATGTTGAATGTTACCCAACAAAGCTTAGGTTTAAGTTAACTTTCTTCAGTTTGTATAAATGTCTTAATCGTCATTAAAAATTTTAAAAAACAAACAAACATTCTAACATGCAACCATGGAGCAACGGACCTGTAGACCATTTATCATTTCTGTATCTACCCATCCGCTTCAAGCATCACAAACACGGGCTAACCCCCACTTTATTCCCAAAACATGTATGCAAACGTGAGGCTAGGATTCGAATCTCTTTTCGGCTAGGTGACCTTGGGCAAGTCGCTATCTTCAGCCTAACCTACCTCACGGGGTTGTTGTGGGAGGGGAGAAATGGAAATAACAGGTAGTGACGGGGGGGGCAGGGGGAGAGAGAGAACCACGTTTGAACAGCCGGAATTCTTTGAATAAAAAGTTGGGCACAGATGTTAGCATGTAAACAAAGAGGGAAAGAGCAGGAACATTCATGCCTAAGGTCACATGTCAGGGAGTAAAGCCCCGAGGCATTGACTTCTGAGTTAGGAACCAGGGTGTCAAAATCTATACCTACATACGGGTATATAAAGGTTGACAACCTCATTCCCAGGGGAAAGAGGTGAGAAGCAGCCAGGGCGATCAATTACCCAGCATGCCCCGCGCCTGAGACAATAGATGGGCGTGGGAACAGCCGCCAGGAGCGGCTCCTGAGGGCGTCACGGGCGCGCAGGGAGAGCGCCTCCCCGCGGTGCTCAGGCGCAACTGAGGGGGCGGACCGCCGCCCTGCGCTGTTTTCGGGGGGGGGGAACGAGCCCCATAGGCGAGGGGGGTATGGCAGGCCCCCCAAAGCCCGTGCCGCTGCCATGGTTACCTGTGGGTCGTGGCGAAGCCGGCCCCCCTCCGGCCCGACGGCCGCAGGTGTTGATCCACCGTCGTAATCCGCTCCGCGAAGAGCGCGTCCACGTCGAAGGGGAACTCCATAGCCCCGGCATCCGGGTCCTTTTCTCTCTGCCGCCCCGGTCGCGCCGACTCACGCCTCTGAGCGACGCGGAGCGCGCGCGCGCGGCCGGCCCCGCCCCTAGCGACCGGGCCTGCTGCCGGCGCCTCCGTTGCCAGGCTCGCCCTAGCAACCGGACGGCCCGTAGCAACCGCCGCCTTCCTCGCCCGCCGCCGGGCGTCTAGACTTGAAGGCCTGCCAGCGGGGGAACCTGCCTCCGTTGCCACGTTTACAACGCACTTTCCCTTTGGAAGTTCAGCCTTGCCCCGGTTGTCCAGCAGCACGGATGTCTGCTGAGTTGTTGTCCCTGTTCGCCAGCCTTGTTTAAGGATCTTTTATTTTTATTTTATTTTTAATTGAATGTGTTTTATTTTGCACCATGATGTGAGAACGTGACACCTGTTTAATAAAAGTATACACATCTCTAACTTCACCCTAAAGAGGATGAAGTAGCTGCAGTAATACCATTCCCATGCTATCATGGGCAGCATTTCTGTAAGGTTATATTTCTCAAGGTTATTCCCACAACTGCAACAGCTAGAACTAAATGAACTAGTTTCAGACTTCCTGAGCAATAACTTCATTATGCTGTGTAGCTGCCAAAGACCGTTAAGTGATGTAAAAATCCCCTCTGGGCCTTGTTATAATTTTTAAACACAAGATTGGACTTGCCAACAACAGAGGATGATTTTGGAAAGTAACAGGAGCTATAGGATGGAAGCTAATATTTTGATTTTCAATGCACATAGTTAGTGTAACTGAAAAGCCTATCATTACCAGTGATGTGGGGGAAACCCCACCTACTGTAAGGTCTGCTGCACAGCCCAAGCCCTTGCATGCATCTGTAACTTTCTTTCACACATTTCTGTGTTCTCTCTTTGTCCCCCTCTCAAGCCTTAAGAATGCAGCGGTACCTCGGGTTACATACGCTTCAGGTTACACACTCCGCTAATCCAGAAATAGTGCTTCAGGTTAAGAACCTTGCTTCAGGATGAGAACAGACATCGTGCTCCGGCGGCGTAGCAACAGCAGGAGGCCCCATTAGCTAAAGTGGTGCTTCAGGTTAAGAACAGTTTCAGGTTAAGAACAGACCTCCGGAACGAATTAAGTACTTAACCTGAGGTACCACTGTAAAGCTTTAAGATCCTGATATATCAAAATGGTGTATCTTTGGTTCAAAATGACATTAAGTCTTAGCCTTGGCTTTAACACCAGCATCTCTATGTAGGGCTGGGAGAGATACCCCTTTTTGAAACCTTGGAAAGCCTCTGCCAGTCACTGTCGATGGTATAAGGCTGTAGACTGTCTTCTTGTTTTCCAAGGGGGGAAAACCCATTAAACTGAATTAAGTCTGGAAAGACTTCTCCTCATCTATACTTAGACTGAAATTGACATAGTTTGAATGCAATACATTGAATACTTTTGAACATAATATATTGTCCTTCAAAATGTGTTTCTTCTTGAGAATAAGTGGCCTATAAAAGAGTTCGATCTAATTCAATGACTCACATCCTATGTGAGCATTGCTTGGTCCCAATAAAATTACTAATTTGCCTTTCCTGTGACTTTTGTTCTAAAGTAGGGCTCCCATAGGTCTGGAATTTTCCAGGCATTACTGGGACTTCAAAGGCAGAAGTGATGTCCAGGGGGAATTTCAGGAAGGTGGCAGTTTGTCCTGGATCTTTGGCAGGTAAACCAAAAAATTGCGGGGGGTTTTTGCTTTTGAAATATGGGGGTTTGAAATATGACAACCCTGTCTAATGGACTAACGTGGCTATGTGCTTTTGATAGTCATCCATTACTTTTATATTCTGCTTTTCTGCCACTGACAGTACAGTCTTCTGAAGAGAATGTCTAATAGGCACAATATTAGAGGGAAAAGAGATGGAGTGAGACGAGGAAAATAATTAACTTCAGGTACCAACTCTGCTGTCCTAATGTTACATAATCATTATAACGATCAGGTGGAACAGCCACTGGGGGAGCCAGTTCTGGAAGAAGAGCCTTATGTAATGCGCATGCAATCTTAATGAGCAAATTGCTCTACAGTTGGCAAACATTTAAACCTGCATTATACTATTATTATTCTTTAAGTCGGGGCTGGTATCAGCTCCTTGCATCCACGGGCAGATGGAAGGCGACCCCAGTGGCTTCAAAAGGTTTGCCACTGATGCTTAATGCAAAATTTTATCTATACGACCCTGATCATAGCATTTTTCAAAACCTCTTAGCACTGGTGAAGGCTAAGAACTTTAAACAAGAGTTAAAGCATTTGCATGTTAGAGTTTAACAAAACTGCATGTCTTCAAGGCTGCTTTTAAGAAAAGGGTGACACTTGTTCTCCAACTGTGTGGGAACAGCATGGCTGTAGCTGAATGCATATTACAGGCAAGTACTGTTGGCTGTCCCAGACCATTATTACATGATTATCACATGATGCCTTGTAATTAAGGCATTCAAAATTCTTTCCGCCTTCCCTGACAGTTTCTTTAGAGATAATTGCTGGCACGACAGGAAGTGTGATGCACTAATTTACCAGGCCATTTACAGCCATTCTCAAATACAGAACATCAGCAGAGATCATAAGCAGAAACAAAACACTGCTTTATGTATTTATTATTTGTTCTCTCACACACAGTCACACATCTGAAGTTATTATGCACTATAAGGAATGGAAAAAAAGATTCTCAAAAGGCACAGCCTTCAAATGCTTGTAGGGACGTGCTAGTGGGCTTCAACAGGAGCACTACTATCATGCAAATATATGGTAAAAGGTTAGGGACGCAGGTGGCGCTGTGGTCTAAACCACTGAGCCTCATGGACTTGCCGATCAGGTCCACTGTTCAAATCCCTGCAACAGGGTGAGCTCCCGTTGCTCTCTGTCCCAGCTCCTGCCAACCTAGCAGTTCAAAAGCATGCCAGTGCAAGTAGATAAATAGGTACCGCTCTGACAGGAAGGTAAACGGCGTTTCTGTGTGCTCTGGTTTCCGTCAAGGTGTTCCGTTGTGCCAGAAGCGGTTTAGTCCTGCTGGCCACATGACCCAGAAAGCTGTCTGTGGACAAATACCAGCTCCCTCAGCCTGAAGCGAGATGAGCGCCACAACCCCATATTCACCTTTGACTGGATTTAACCACCCAGGGGTCCTTTACCTATGGTAAAAGGTTAAGAAATGTGTCTCCCAGATGCATGATTGGGTTAAAAGTGGGTCCTGGCTCCGAGGTTGACAGCAACTGGATTACAGGATACTGATTTGCAGCAGCAGAGGATTTTCATCTCCCATGAATGCATACAGCAGACTATGAAGTAAGAAAACTTCCAGTTTCTCAAAGGGAGTATTCAGCATGAAGCTGAAGTTCAAATCCATTAGGAAATTCAATACAGTGGATCTCTGACTCAACAGACCCTGGGAGTGCCTACCTCACAGTGGAAATTGCTCCATTTCCAGAATGGCTTTTTTTTTTACTACCCACCTTCTTGTGCCAATTTATCCCCTGCAGCCCTAGTTAAGAGGGCATTAATTTGATTGCAAAGTAGTCTGCATGTTATTTCTTGCTTTTTGACTTGTTAGCTTCCTTCTGAGTAAGCAAGTGAAATCCTTTGTTTTGTTAGGTTACTTTGGGGTGTCACTGTGCTCTTTGTTTTGAATATTTGCACAATTCAAACTTAACCTTTAGGCGTAGTGTCATCCACCCAACAATTTGCTGGCTGAAGCTGTTCTTGATGGGGCACCAGGTTTTTTTTTTAACTGCTGTATATTATGGTTGCAACTGCATGGATTCATCTGTGAGAAGGCGGTAATGATAGGGGAGGGAATACCAGTGTCAGCACAGGTTAGGAGAGTGAAGCCACTGAAGAGTGATGGCATGCTAGTTTGGTTCTTCCAGATGTTAGTTTTGTAGCACAGCTTGGGTGTCAGAATGGGTTCCCTTTCTCTCCCCACCCTTCTCATATAAATTCAATTTTCCTTACATGGTTTCAGTGAGTAGCATGCTAAAGAAACAGCTTTCCCCACATGTGATAAATAGAATGCTGGAAATGCAAAGTAGGAGGAACTTTTCCCCATATGTGGTGGACGTGTAAAAAAGTTCAAGTATATTGGGAAATGATATACGAGATAAAAATAGGTTTAAAACTCCTCCCCACCCCCCACCCCAGTTAGGAATCGTTCAGAGGTTCCAAGGAATCAGAAGAACTTATTCATGTATGCAACATGCAACAACATCGGCTCAGATCTTGTTAGCCCAACAATGGAAAGTGAGAGAGGTCCCTAGATTGGCAATTTAAGGTAAGAATATGCAGAATTAGCAGGTCTAATGAGTAGAATAAAGAGAACAAGAAGACCAGGTATTTAAAGAGTGGAAATTTTTTGTTGAGTATACTGAAAATAATTGTGCACAGCAGAATTAAAGTAATTCAACAGAATAACATTTTGAACTGATGTAAGATAGGAAAATTAAATTAGATGGCTATATTAAAATATGCAGGAATGGTGGATGAACCTTGGAAGGGGAGGGGGGGCAGTCAATGAATGTATGGTATAATAAAAGATGTTTATTATCTTTATTTGAAAATCTAATAAAAGTTTATTGAAAATCTAATAAAAGTTAACAACAACTGTAGCGAAGGAAGAAAAGGTTTTAGAACTGTGACATTCTGACCCAGTTCCCATGATTCAGAGTGAGCGAGGGAACATGTGGATTCCCAGAAAGAAGATTGCAGCTGTTTTGCAGTCATGCTGCCAACTCCCATAAGCCATACTGCACAATGGACTGGCCTCAAATACTTGTTGGAAATTTGGGTGCCACTCAGCTGGCTGAAAGGGGGTGGCATGGGTTCAAGAGGTAATGAGCCTCCAGCTTCCCAGACTATCCCTGTACTTTTATCACCATGCTGACTTCTCCCTCTCTTTCATGTTCAGACTGGCAAATCTCAGGCTGCAGCCTCTTTATAACTTCCCGCTCCTCCTCACATTCTTTTTCTGGACCTTGAGCCAAGAGATCATCTTGGATACACCTTCTGAGAACAAAGGGGCAAGCATGGCTTCTCTGTTTCTCCACCTAGATAA